ACACTGAACTGAAGTTAGTATGTGTCATCCTCAGACACAGTGCATATTTTTATATTTTTATTAAGTGTGTATGTATCCATAATGAATTAAGTAGTATCATGTTTGTGTAGATACACACACACACACACACACACACACACACACATTGTAGTAATTAACTTTTTAAATGGATACTTTTGGATTTATTCATGTTGGTACATTGTAGATCTAGTTTACTCCTTTAACTATGTGTATTTCACTATATGGATAAACTGTAGTTTGTCTGTTTCCCTTCTGAGAGAGCATTAGATAATTTCTACCTTTTCCCATGACAAACAGTGTGACAATAATAATTATCATAACAGCTACCACTTTCAGTGTTTGTTATGCACCAGATACTGTTAGAAGTGCTTACATACATTAAAGCATTTAACACATTTAATCATTGTAGCATCCTATGAGATAGGAGATTGAAGTATAGAAGTTAATAAATCACCCAAGATCACATAGCTAGTGAACATTCTCATAGGTATCTTTTTATATATGTGTGAGAGAGTTTCTCTAGGGAAGGTATATGTATTTTCTATGTATGCACGTTTTCAACTTTTCTAGATGATGAGTAATTGCCCATAGTGGTTATACTAATTTATAGCTTTTACTAGCTCCTCTTTCCCTGCATCTTTGACAACACTTGGTCATATCAGACTTGTCAATTTTTGCCAATTTCTTGGGAGTTAATAGTATTTCTTTATTATTTTTAATAATTGAAAAAAAATATTTTTTTGAAAAAATCAGTGCCTGGAAAGTCCAAGTGTTCTGTTTTAGCAGGCGTGCTATTTGGGCTGAAGTAATGTTAAAGTATAATTAGAGGCTTTTTTACTAATTTGAATGTGAAAAAATTTACTAGCTTTCTCATTCAGCAATAAACTTGATGTCCTAAAAACTTTGAAATGTGCAAACTTTGATGATACCTTCATTTTATTTTATTGTATTTTTTAAATAAATCTTTATTGTTCAGATTATTACAGTTGTTCTCCCCCCCCCCCCGTAATTCCCCTCCACCTAGTTCCCACCCTACTCTCTGCCCTTACCCCCCGCCACTGTCCTCATCCATAGGTGTACGATTTTTGTCCAGTCTCTTCCAACACCCCCCACACCCCTTTCCCCCCTGAGAATTGTCAGTCCACTCCCTTTCTATGTCCCTGATTCTATTATATTCACCAGTTTACTCTGTTCATAAGATTTTTTATTCACTTGATTTTTAGATTCACTTGTTGATAGATGTGTATTTGTTGTTCATAATTTTTATCTTTACCTTTTTCTTCTTCTTCCTCTTCTTTTTTTTTTTTTATATATTTTATTGATTTTTTACAGAGAGGAAGGGAGAGAGATAGAGAGTTAGAAACATCGATGAGAGAGAAACATCAATCAGCTGCCTCCTGCACATCTCCCACTGGGGAGGTGCCCGCAACCCAGGTACATGCCCTTGACTGGAATCGAACCCGGGACCCTTGAGTCCACAGGCCGACGCTCTATCCACTGAGCCAAACTGGTTTCGGCGTTCTTCCTCTTCTTAAAGGATACCTTTCAGCATTTCATATAATTCTGGTTTGGTGGTGGTGAACTCCTTTAGTCTTTTCTTATCAGTGAAGCTCTTTATCTGACCTTCAATTCTGAATGATAGCTTTGCTGGGTAAAGTAATCTTGGTTGTAGGTTGTTGGTATTCATCACTTTGAATATTTCTTGCCACTCCCTTCTGGCCTGCAAAGTTTCTGTTGAGAAATCAGCTGACAGTCGTATGGGTACTCCCTTGTAGGTAACTGAGTTTCTTTCTCTTGCTGCTTTTAAGATTCTCTCTTTGTCTTTTGCTCTTGGCATTTTAATTATGATGTGTCTTGGTGTGGTCCTCTTTGGATTCCTTTTGTTTGGGGTTCTCTGTGCTTCCTGGACTTGTAAGTCTATTTCTTTCACCAAGTAGGGGAAGTTTTCTGTCATTATTTCTTCAAATAGGTTTTCAGTATCTTGCTCTCTCTCTTCTTCTGGCACCCCTATAATTTGGATGTTGGTACGCTTGAAGTTGTCCCAGAGGCTCCGTACACTGTCTTCATATTTTTGGATTCTTTTTTCATTTTGCTTTTCTGGTTGGGTATTTTTTGCTTCTTCATATTTCAAATCTCTGACTTAATTCTTGGGATCCTCTTGTCTTCTGTTGGATCTCTGTATATTATTCTTTATTTCAGTCAGTGTATGCTTAATTTCTAGTTGATCCTTTTTCATATCCTCGAGGGTCTCACTAGATTTAGCGTCGGTTTCTAGAAAATTCTTGTAAAACCTTATAAGTGTGCTTTTGAACTCTATATTCAGTAGTTTGCTTTCCTCCATTTCTGTCATTTGTGATCTTTTTCTTTGTCTCTGCATTTTGGCTGCTTCCCTGTGTTGATAGAGTGGCTTTCTGGGTTAGGTGTTCTATAGGGCCCAGTGGCTCAGCCTCCCCAATTACCTGAGGTGGACACTCTTGGTGCACCCCTTTGTGGGCTTTGTGCACAGCCTTGTTGTAGTTAAGTCTTGATTGTTGTAGGTATCACTGGGAGGAATTGACCTCCAGGCCAATTGTCTGTGAGAATCAGCTGTGTCTGCAGTGGGAGAACTTCTGTGCTGGAGACACTCTTCTGGGGCAAGACTTGCTTCAGCGGGGCTTTGGTGCTCACTGAGTCTGCCCCCTTAGTGTGTCCCTTATGGATCTGAGGAGTTGTAATCTGGATGGTCCCACTCTGACCACTGGGTACACAGGCTCTTGAATCTCTAAGGAGGTGCCAATTTAGCCTCTGCCTGAGGCTAACCAGCAGGAGCTATGGAGAGATCTTCAGATTCCTCTTCTTTGTTTGGGGTTTGGAGGTGCCCAGATGAGGCCCAGCTGTGAAGCAGTGCAAGCTGCTGTTGGGCCTTGAGCCTTCTTTTGGATGTTCTGGGTCTCTCTGACCCAGCTGCAGTTTGTTAGGCAATTTTAGATCTCAAAGGGCCAGCCCATTCATATACAAAAGCCTCTCCGCACAGCTTGGGTGGGGCAGGGTCTCAGGGAATCAACAGGGCGGAGCAAACAGCTATGGCTGCTCCTCAGTCCTACCCTAAGAGGCCCCCTGGGTCTCAGTGTCCCGTGGTAATCACTGCAAGCACCTCTGAGAGAAAGCCGCCCTCGAGTTCCAACCGATGCCAGACAGTCCAGTTTCTCCCCGTCTAAGTCTGGGTCCCCAGAGACTCGCCCGGAACTGGAGTTCAGAGCCGTTGGGAGCTTGTGTCTCCCTCCCGATTGAAAAAGACACTGGTGTCCTCCGTTGCCAGCCCTTTCCACGTGCGCCTCCATACCTCTGCACTTTACTTCCGCACCTCCTCTGAGTCTCAGTGTGCTTTTCTCTTTCCTTCTAGTTTTAGAATTCCCACTCAGCCACCTTCCTGTGGTTCTGGATGATGTCCGTTTTGTCTTTTAGTGTATTTTTGAAGTGGTTGTGCAAGGCAGCAATTTCAGGTGTTTACCTATGCCGCTATCTTGGTTTCTCCCTCGATGATACCTTCAGTTTAATGGTTTTCCTTGACCTATACCTTAAACGCTTAGTCTTCAGGGAACCTACTTGGTATTTTGCTAAGTTTCTTTCCTAATTTTATGGAATATTTCCCTTAACATATGAAACATGGTACCTAAATATACTGGATATCTTCCCTTTACTCCTTCAGATTCATCTCCCACACATTTTCACCCTCCCTGTGCCTTTGAAGACTGACCCATGCAGCCTACATCAGTGGGCTCCCTTGACATCTAGTTTAAGCAATGGCAGAGTAACCATACTTGCTGTTTTGTGCCTCTTGTCCTGGTACAATTATTAATAGGGACCCTTTTCACATTCAGAAGTAACCCAGTTTGTAGGGGAAATTATAGAACACCTTAGCCCATGGGGAAGGGAACTAGAGAGGTTGGCATGTTTATTAGTCTGGTTCCTTCCCCAAGGGATCAGCCAAGGCTGACTCCATCCCTCAGCTCAAGGTCACAGCTCCTATCATCCCTTGGAACACAACTCTCTGGGCTCTGGAATAAGTTTCTTCTCCAGTTCTTCAATTCTAAGAGTGGCAACCTGTCTCTGCTAGTATAAGTTGTAGGGTATAGTGCTGTCTTTTTTTTTTTTTTTTAATATTATGAGTATATCTTTGTAAATAGCCCCTTTAATAAGTATATTCTCCTCAAATTACCCAATTTTAGTGTAGCATCTCTCCTGATTCAAAATCTACTGATACACCATATATGACATTATAATTTAATTAAATGAATCTTTAGTTTAAGATGTATTTATTTGTTACAGATTTTTTTACTGATTTCAGAGAGGAAGGGGGTGGAGAGAGAGAGAGAGAGAGAGAGAAAGAGAGAGAGAGAGAGAGAGAGAGAGAGAGAGAGAAAGAGAGAGAGAGAGAGAGAGAGAGAGAGAGAGAGAGAGAGAAATATCAATGATGAGAGAGAATCATTGATTGGCTGCCTCCTGCACATCCCCTACTGGGGATTGCAACCTGGGTATATGCCCTGACTGGGAATCGAACCATGACCTCAGGTTCATAGGTTGATGCTCAACCACTGAGCCACACCAGCCGGGCAAAGTGTATTTAAAATAAAGCTAGGTTTGCCCTAACCAGTTTGGCTCAATGGGTAGAGCGTTGGCCTGTGGACTCAAGGGTCCCAGGTTCTAATCCGGTCAAGGGCATGTACCTTGGCTACAGGCACATACCTAGTAGGGAGTGTGCAGGAGGCAGCTGATGGATGTTTCTCTCTCATCGATGTTTCTAACTCTCTATTCCTCTCCCTTCCTCTCTGTAAAAAATCAAAATATATTTATAAAATAAAATAAAACTAAGTTCAAGAATGTAATGCCTGTTTTAATTTTTATAGAGCTTTCACATACATTCTCATTTTAAGCAAATATGCTTAATTTTCATATGATGCTTATAAGTTTTTAATGTTAATTATCTTCTTATCTTTCAGATGAAGTTGGAGCCCTTGTTTTTGACATTGGATCCTATACTGTGAGAGCTGGTTATGCTGGTGAGGACTGTCCCAAGGTAAGATGTTAGAGTTAATTGGATATGTAAGGGCCATTCATGTAGAATTACATTCATGCAGAAATTCTGATTCACATATGATAAAATACATTAGTTGTGGGAGGGGGAATGACTCCTTGATAAAAGCAGATAAAACTAATATATCATATTTTGGACTCTTACAGGTGGATTTTCCCACAGCTATTGGCATGGTGGTAGAAAGAGATGATGGAAGCACATTGATGGAAATAGATGGTGATAAAGGCAAACAAGGCGGTCCCACCTATTACATAGATACTAATGCCCTGCGTGTTCCCAGGGAGAATATGGAGGCCATTTCTCCACTGAAAAATGGGATGGGTATGATGTTGTTTTTCCTATGTAATTGATTATAAAATAGACTATACTGGGTGCATTTTAGATATAAAGCAACAGCTTCTTTTAAGTTGAAAATCAACAATTTTTTTGTTTTTTATTTATTTTTTATTCCACAACCTGATGTTCCAGGCACTGAGAATACAAAGATGCATAAAACACGTCTCTTTTCCTGAAGGAACTCATAGATAGGGAGGATAGATGTATATATACAAATGTGTAGATAAATGCTATAATATAGATATGTCTAATAATCTGTGGGATTAGAGAGGAATGGTATTTAACTCTGTCATTAGGGATCTGTGATAGTTTTCACAAAGGAGGTAACTTTTGTACTGAATATTGATCAATGACAAAGAATTAGCCTGACTGACAAGAATAGGTAAAGCAGAGCACCCAGCATATGTGAAGAGATGGAGTTGTGGAAGAAACCTACATGTTTATAAATGTCATCAATTATGTATGGCTGTAGCATTGGGTACCTTATGGCCAGTTGCAAGGAAGGTAGGCAAAGCAATCATAAAAGGGCTTGTAAACTATGCCAGGGGTATATTAAGGTGGCAGTAAGGGTAATCCCAAAGGATTTTAAACAGATGTGAAATATTCATATTTGCCAGCTGGAAATGTTACTCTGACAGCAGTATATAGATTGGAGACAAGAGATTCAGTTAAGTGGCTGGGAGTCAGATGGAGAAATGAGGATTTCAGTGATAACACTGATAGTGGATCCTGACGTGGCTTTCAGAGACATCCAGGAGACACATGGTACTTAAGCGATTGGAGGGGTAAAAGGAAGAGTTAAGAAAGTCTTTTAAATTTTTGATTGGGGTGACTGAATTGAGGGTACCATGCATTGAGGTAGGAATAGAAGGCAAAAAATAAGTTTTATGGTCTTAAAAAGCAAGTGTAGCCCTAGCTGGTTTGGCTCAGTGGATAGAGTGTCAGCCTTCTGACTGAAGGGTCCCGGGTTCGATTCCAGTCAAGGGCACATGCCAGGGTTGTGGTCTCAATCCCGAGTAGGGGGTATGCAGGAGGAGGCCAATCAGTGATTCTCTCTCATCATTGATGTTTCCATCTCTCCCTCTCCCTTTCCTCTCTGAAATAAATAAAAATATATTTTTTAAAAAATAATAAAATTAAATTAAAAAGCAAGTGTATTGCTAATACCCAAGATCACTTCGAAAATCAAGTTATTCCCTAGGAGGACTGATAGGACTCAGCATTTAGTTGTACTCATAACTAAGATTATTATACTAAAATGATACAAACAAAATCAGCAAAGGGAAAAAAGGGGGTATGAAGTCCAGAGGAAACCAGTACAAACTTCCAAGAGTCTTCTCACAGTACAGTTATAAAAGAGGATGTCCTTAATTCCCCCAGCATCAAGTTGTAACAACTAGGAGAGCTCACTAGAGATTCAGTACCCAGGGTTCTTCCTGGGGGCTGGTCATGTCGGTACCCGTGCCTAGCAGGTACCAAGACCCCAGACTCCCAGAGGAAAGAAGGTGTTGCTCATTCTTGGCGCAGACAGTTTAGGCACAGTGAGCTATGTCTTCACTTAGGCTGTGCTCTGTGTCCGTGTAGGGAACTGTTTTGTTTACCAGTGAAGTTCCCAAATACTAGCAAAGGTTCAGCCTTGCAGCCAGGCCTTTCTCAGGCCTGCTGTGTTAACTTTTCTGCACAGCAAGGAAATGAGTTTGTTACTGAGTCAAAGTGTTTGCACATAGGCGCTGATGTTGTAAGCAGGTGAGAAAGATTTTAAGACATGGAGCCAGCTGTATTACATTACCCAGAAAGAATTAGAAGTGTAAGTTCAGCGTTAAAGATGGGGTTCCTTAGGAAAGCTTGTTCTGTATTTAACTGATAGAGAAGAGGTGACCATGAAGGTGAATGTGAAGAAACATGTAGGGATGTAGAAGAAAATTCAGGAGAAGGACAAGATAAGAAAAAAACAATCTCAAAAAAAGATGCTGTGTATATCTCCAATAAAGCATTGTTTTGAAGGTATTTTTATATTCTAGTTGAAGACTGGGAGAGCTTCCAAGCTATTTTGGATCATACCTACAAAATGCATGTCAAATCAGAACCCAGCCTGCATCCTGTCCTCATGTCAGAAGCTCCGGTAAGAAGAACAAGACTTTCTTTTCTAATTTTTTCTCATTTTCCAGCCCCTATTCATTTGAAAAATGTTTCCTTTTTTTTTTAAGAGACATCAAAATTTATATATTTTATTTGAAAATTAGGGAAAGGGGTATTAATTTTTAAATGATATTATAAGTTTAACATATTCAATAAATGAAATATTCAAAGAATAATACCAAAACATCCTAATGGATTTTGGTGGTTATTTTATGTGTTTTTTTCTAGGGATGTATTTAACCTTAGAATCCTTAGGCTGCTTCCCATTTTGGTTTATGAATTGTCTCTTGTGTCACAAGTGTAGTGTTTATCTGCTGTCTTTATTAATTTAAAAAAATATTTAGAAATTATTTTAGAGTATTAAGTATTTTATTTTTTTAAATATATTTTTATTGATTTCAGACAGGAAGAGAGAGGGAGAGGGAGATAGAAACATCAGTGATGAGAGAATCATTGATCAGTTGCCTCCTGCACACCCCCTACTGGGGATCGAGCCCACAACCTGGGCATGTGTCCTGACTGGGAATTGAACTATGACACTCTGGTTCATAGGTCAGTATTCAACCACTGAGCCAGCCACACCAGCCAGACCATTTCTGCTTTTATACTCAGGTCTCCAGGAGAGACGTCAAATATTGAACAAGGGCTGCAAATTGCTAGACTGAAGTCTCTTGTGAAACACATAAATTATCAATTTTCTGTTACTGTTTCTAACCTCTAGTTTCTTTTTTAAGAGTAGCAATTGTTGCCGTAGCCGGTTTGGCTCAGTGGGTAGAGCGTCGGCCTGCAGACTGAAAGGTCCCAGGTTCGATTCCGGTCAAGGGCATGTACCTTGGTTGCGGGCACATCCCCAGTAGTGGGTGTGCAGGAGGCAGCTGATCGATGTTTCTCTCACATCGATGTTTCTAACTATCTCTCTCCCTTCCTCTCTGTAAAAAATCAATAAAATATATTTTTAAAAAAAAAAAGAGTAGCAATTGTAACCTGGCCAGCATGGTTCAGTGGTTGAGTGTGGACTTAAGAACTAGGAGGTTACTGTTCTCTCTCTGCCTCTCTCTTCCTCTCTGAAATCAATAAAAATATATTTTAAAAAAAGGTGCAGCAACTTGAATTTGGTGGTTTAAAATTCGTAGGTATGATTCTGATTCATAGATTTACTCTTAAGATTTAATAATGCTTTAATTTCTTTAATTGAAAACGTGGTCATTTCTAGAACTTACTGCAGCAGATAATTTTACCTCTTATTAATAATAATCAAATTTTTATTTTTATTTATTTATTAAAACTATTTACCAATATAAATTAACTAAATATTACAGAACTGTTACTATGAAGATTATTTGTCATGGTATTTTATTTTATTGTACATTTTTGTTAATATAGTGCTGTAATGCATCTTGAGATAAATCAACATTTTAGTTTTTAAACAAGAAGTGACTTGCATTTCTTTTTCCCTCTTCTCCAGTGGAACACTAGAGCCAAGAGAGAGAAACTGACAGAGTTGATGTTTGAACACTACAACATCCCAGCATTCTTCCTTTGCAAAACTGCAGTTTTGACAGCGTATCCTTGAAAGCGTAATGCTTAGTTTTCCTCTTAAAGTAAAAATGCGGTGCTCCTTAAGCACAGACATGAGCCAGTTCTCACTTGTTCAGAACTGAACACTTTGGGGTGTTTTCTCTCTTGCCTTTTTTTAAAGAAATTTATTGATTCTAGAGAGAGGAAAAGAGAGAGAGAGAAACACTGATCAGTTGCCCCAACCGGGATTGAGCCCACAACCCGGGTATGTGCCATGACCTGGACTTGAACCCACAATCTTTCAGTGTATAGGACAACACTCCGCCCAACTGAGCCGCATCAGCCAGAGCTAGTTCAGTTTAGAATACCAACAGTAGACATATTAATGTTAACATTTTTATGAAAACAGTAATTATATTTTGTAAAACAAATAATAAGAAAAGTAGCATTGTTTTATCTGACTTTATGGTTGATAGCTGAGTTCTCATATCTTCCAGCCACACTTGTGTTCTTGACAACTTAAGCTAGTAAGGAAGACTTAGTTTTATGCTGTCCAACTTGCATACTTTGGGGAATGCATTTAGTAAAAAGGTGCCAAAACGTCAGTTGAGTGCCAGTAATAGCAAAAATAAATCACCTTCTTTCTGATCATTTAATGCAGTGGTTGTCAACCGGTGGTCCACGAGGTCCGAAAGGTTGACGACCGCTGATTTAATGTTCTCAGACTTCTTCCCTCTGACCATCCCTACCCATCCTTATTCCTTTTTTTGTTTGTTTGCTTTGTGTTTTTGCACTTAGTCCTTCATCTCTCTTGGCATGCTCCTTCTGGCTTAACTTACCCATTTTCTTGACTTCACGTACCAGTTATTTGGTGACAAATTCCCAGATCTTTCTTGTGAGCTCCAGGCTCGGCTGCCAACTAGAATATTTTCTGTAAGCACTTTCAGCTCATTATGTCCAACACTGACTTTATCTTCTCTCCCCTTAAATTTATTCCTTCTCCCTCTGTATAACATCCTACTCCCAGTTGCCCACACCAGAAATCTTTCTCTTTAATTCTTGAAGTGTATCAGTCATCAAGACCTATGTATCCCCCCCCTCCCCCACCCCCATCTCTCAATCTATTTATTTCTCTCTATCCACTACCCTTGCATTAAGTGCAAGCTCTTTCCAGGATTATTGCCACCCTTCCTCTTATCTTGGCCACTCTTCACACTGCAGCTCTTATCATCTATGTTAATTGCAAGCCTCTTTAAGCTAGAATCATCTTCCACATTCTTCATTCTTCTAGGCTATATTGAACTACTTGCATTTCCCTGACCTCACCTGCTCTCTTGCCTCCTGGCCTTCTTTGTGTTCCTGCTCTTCCCCATGTCCCCCTCCCCAGCTTACACTTGGATTTCCCAGGGATTGGTTAGGTGGTCTCCAATACGCCACAGGGCATCCTGAGCTATTCTTTTTACAGCTTTCTTTACTGATTTCTACTTCACTAAACAGGGTATTCTTTAGGGCAAAGGTAGATGGTTCACCTTTGTGAGTCTTCTGTGCTTAAGGAATGCTAGCCTTTATTGAACATCAAACTCATCACTGGGCATATAATAAATGCTCAGCAAATATTTGAATGGCTCTATTCCCAAACAGTGGTCTAAGATGTTTTGGGCAAAGCTGTGGAAAATGGGATATGCCTATATTCAGTGGCTGTTGATGGAAACTGCCACTCAGCTGCCACACTGCAGAAATACCTCTTTAATCTTTTATGACCATGGTTTTAGTTCCTAGCTCAAAGTCCACAGCCTCCCGCTGTTCCTTCCAAGTTTTTGTGGATTTTGTGAAATAAATGCTTCTCAGTTTGTTATAAGCCATTTGCTGTATCTCCAGGGACTTTGTGTGACTGTGTTGATTTTGGCCAACTTAACAGATGTGTCTCTCCAGGAGAAAGGTTTCCCCAAGCTCCTCCCACCACCACTCTGGAAGTCCGTCCTGCCTGTTTCATTTCTTTTTAAATCGCAGTCATGATTTGATATCAATTTTAACCCCCAGATTTACTTTAACACATCTTAAGCCATAATGCCTCTGTTTACAAAGACCTTAATAAAACCTTTCCTTCCTAATAACCTTTATTTTTAGGAGCCTTGATCCTTACTTTCCCTTAATGCTTTAAACTAGATTTGCTAACGGGCGTTCGACTGGGCTTATTTTGGACAGTGGAGCCACTCACACCACTGCAATTCCCGTGCACGATGGCTATGTCCTTCAGCAAGGTAAATGTATTTAACCAGCGTGCTCTGAGACAATGTTAGCTGTCATGAGGACACAGATGAGGACACTGGGCTGCCAAAGCATGCCAGGTTCCAAGTAATATCTTTTTTAGAGATATTTTCTTTAAATTGTTGGTATATAATGTACATTTAAAACTGATGCATGGCTTCCTGAATGCTTTGAGGGATAGTTCTGCTATTTCTACTTGTAAATAATTATTCACACATAGATCCACAGAGGACATTTGTCCCAGGGAGTTTGGGCTGAATGCTCTCTTAGCCTTGTTCAATCTGTTTCATAGGCATTGTAAAATCCCCTCTCGCTGGAGACTTTATTACCATGCAATGCAGAGAGCTCTTCCAGGAAATGAATATAGAACTGATTCCTCCATATATGATTGCATCAAAAGTAAGTAATGACTGATGAATTTTCTCTTTGGAATTTATCTCCACCTCTTCACCTCATGTTGTGGGCTCTGTTAACCTAGCCCATGCTCTTGACACCCAGGAACCTGTGCGCGAAGGATCACCAGCAAACTGGAAAAGGAAAGAGAAGTTGCCGCAGGTCACAAGGTCTTGGCACAATTATATGTGTAACGTAAGTAGTCTTATCTTCTTCATGAACGACTTATAGGCTGTAAGTCTTTGACTACAATGTGAACACTTTTCAATCTGTACATTTTTATATGACATTCTGGAAACAGAATTAATGGCTTTTTGGGGGGTGGGTTGTTTTTCATACTTGCCAAACAAATATGTCAACAAACTACTATGTATTCATTTGGATTACTGTGGTGAGACCTAGAAGGAACTTCGGTTTTGGGGTCAAAACAAGCATTATATTATTCTGGACACTTTATTTTTGGTGGTCAAATGGTTTTTGTCCATAGCAATCTCCTGGAGTGGCTCAAGTATATTCTCTTGTCTAATATCAGCCAGCCATATAAAAAATATGGATTATTGCCTAGCCCATTTGGCTCAGTGGATAAAGCATCGGCTTCTGGACTGAAGGGTCTCAGGTTCGATTCCAGTCAAGGGCACGTACATTGTTTGCTGGCTCGAACCGAAGGCATCCAATCGATGTCTCTGTCTTACTGTCTCTCCCTCCCTTCCACTCTCTTAAAAAAAAAGAAAAAAAAGAAAAATGGATTTTTTTATATAGCAGGGAGCCAATGAGAGATTCTCTTTACTGAAAATCCATTTGTGAACATATAGCACTTACTCACAAGGGGAGAGGTTAGTAAAACAACTTCTCATAGCATAGATATACATTCCGTTCTCACAGTAAAAGGATATTAAAGTCATAATTCACTATGGCAGACATATATCCTATCTGACATTTTTGCACCTAAAGATAAAGGTTTTTTATAGGTGTTTGGTACAAGGAAAAATTGTGGAAATGATTAGCAATTTTGACTAGATATTAGATAATATTTCTCCTTAGCAACCCAGAGGACATGCATTTCAAAATAAATTTTAAAATTGTTGTGCCCAGTTTGGCTCAGTCAGATAGAGTGTCAGCCTGCGGACTGAAGGGTCCCAGGTTCGATTCTGGTTAAGGGCACATGCCTGGGTTGAGGGCTCGATCCCCAGTAGGGGGCATGCAGGAGGCAGCTGATCAGTGATTCTCTCTCATCATTGATGTTTCTATCTCTCCCTCTCCCTTCCTCTCTGAAGTCCATAAAAATATATTTAAAAATAAATAAATAAAATTGTACAGTATGTGCAGTCATGTAAAGTTATATCAAGTACAGTATATATGCAGGTAATGAAATCTGGCTTCTAAGTCTAAACTTATTTTTATAGTAAAAACAGTGTTTCAAAACTGTTTTTTTGGTAGGACTATGATACAAGGGTTCCCAGTTATTTTTCATTTCATTGTTTCATACTGTTGTGATTTAAATGTTCTGCATTTTAGCTTCTAATTCAGATGCTTATAATTGGGTTTCTTTGATAATCAAGAGTCTTTGCTTGATAGATTTATACCCTTGAGATTCTTTCCCATCCAGGAACATGGCCCAATTTCCTTAAGAAAAGTATTTTATAGATAATGTTACAAAAGTATTGATTGCAAAGACAAATCTCAATAACTCTGCTTCTTAAACTTCCTTATTTTTATCCATAGTGTGTTATCCAGGATTTTCAAGCTTCAGTACTTCAAGTATCAGATTCAACTTATGATGAACAGTATGTATTCTTATTTTGTCTGTAAGATAAAATTTAATAGCTCTTTAAAACCTTCATACTAATCTTTTAAAAAATTGTATACTTCCTAAATGAGGTAGGAAGGTGATGTATTTAGGTAAAAAAAGAATTGTAGAATATGCTTAACTGCTTGAAAGGTAAAAAGTTATGTTAAGAAGTATGGAATAACATTTTTTTAAAAAGAAAACAAAAGAAATATGAAATAACATTTTAAAAGAAAATAGGTAAAAAAGAAAAGAAAAGAAAAGAAAATAGGTATTCTCACTCTGCTTTCATGTAAGTTGATTCCTTAGTAGTTTATTATTTTTGAAGAGGATTGTTTTTTGTTTATTGTTTTGTCTTTTGTTTAATGATGTTTACTGTGTTTTCAGAGTAGCTGCACAGATGCCAACTGTTCATTATGAATTCCCCAATGGCTATAACTGTGATTTTGGAGCAGAACGGTTAAAGATTCCTGAAGGATTATTTGACCCTTCCAATGTAAAGGTATGAAAGCTTATTTCATAATTAGCCTGGCTTTTTCTGTATATGTAGAGATCTTGTGTGATTAGAATCCTATCTAATAATAGATAAACATGGTAATTAACCATACCTCCACTACGCTTCCCCATTGGCTAATAAGCAGGATATGCAAATTAACTGCTAACAAAGATGGCGGACAGCAGCCACACAGCTGAAGCAAGCAGGAGGTTTGCTTGCTCCAGTGATGGCGGAAGCCAAGGTTCCCCGCCTGCCGCGGCCCAGCTCTGAGCTCCAGATGCAACAATGTTGCAATTATAGAAGCTAAACAAACCCAGATACCTGCTTTCTGCCGGCAGTGGGCTCAGAGCTTAGAGCGCTAGGATGGCAACAGAGTTTCAATTATAGAAGCTAAGCAAACCCAGATACCTGCTTTCAGCCAGCCACAGCCTCAGAGCTGGAGCTGGCTCTCAGCTCCAGTGACAGCTATAGAAGGTAAATAAATCCCAGAATAAAAAGAAGAGGATGGGAGCTTCAGTCACGTGCCAGCCTGAAAACGGCCCTCAGCCCCTCACCCAGACTGGCGAGGCACCCCAGTGGGGACCCTCACCCCGAAGGGGGTGTGACCAGCTGCAAACAGCCATCAGCCCCTCATCCAGGCTGGCCAGACACCCCAGTGGGGACCCTAACCCTGAAGGGGGTGTGACCAGCTGAAAACAGCCATCAGCCCCTCACCCAGGCTGGCCAGGCACCCAAGCGGAACCCCCACCCTGATCCGGGACATCCTTCAAGGCAAACCACCCATGCACCAGGCCTCTATCCTAAAAGGGTAATGTGCAAACTGACCCTAACAGCAGAAAGACAGGGAATGACTGGTCACTAGGACACACACTGACCACCAGGGGGCAGACGCTCAATGTAGGAGCTGCCCTCTGGTGGTCAGTGCACTCTCACAGGGGGGAGCATCTGCTCAGCCACAAGCCAGGCTGATGGCTGCCAGTACAGCAGTGGTTGTGGGAGCCTCTCCTGCCTCCTCAGCAGCGCTAAGGATGTCTGACTGCAGCTTAGGTCTGCTCCCCGCTGGCAAGTGGACATCCCCCGAGGGCTACTAGGTTGCCAGAGGGATGTCTGATTGCTATCTTAGGCCCAATCCCCTGGGGAGCAGGCCTAAGCCAGCAAGTGGTCACCCACGAGGGACCCCAGACTGTGAAAGGGCACAGGCTGGGCTGAGGGACTCCCTACCCCCGAGTGCACAAATTTTTGTGCACCGGGCCTCTAGTGACCTATATAATAGTAAATGCTTTTGGACGCACTTTATTATTTGAAGTTCTCTGTTCATTTTATTTTGTTCTAGGGATTATCAGGAAATACAATGCTGGGAGTCAGTCACGTGGTCACTACAAGTGTTGGGATGTGCGATATTGATATCAGACCAGTAAGTGCCAGTCTCCTGTTTATGGCATGGAGGTATCTCTTTGGCTACTGAAATGCCCCCAGATCATTATTTAAGTTGGCAGTTTTGGTCATTGACTTTGAAGTCCATTTTATAACAGAATACGTAAAAAGATGGGAGGACTGGAAAAGGAAAAATGCACAACTCTGAACCTGTGGTGTCCAGTGTGGTATATACTGGCCTTATGGTGCAGTTTAAATTAAAACAAATGCAAATTTCAGAGTCAGTTTTTCAGTTGCACAGGCCACAGGATAAATGTAGCAAGTAGCCACTGTATGACAGTGCAGATATACAGCATTTTCGATCACAGAGTTCTTTTGGATAGTGCTGTTCTAGATATTTCCTAAAAGGAGACCACCCAAAATATATATTATTGGTGATATATAGTACAGTTTTCCTTTTATTCGTCAAGAAGGTGTGGGTTAAATTTTTAAAGGAAGTGTAGGTAAGTGATTTCCTTCATATTTTTGTGCTTTTCCAAGTTTTAAAGTACTCCATATTATAGCACCATACTGATTACCAGATTGATTATTATCATATTTTAACCCTAGGTTCAATTTGTAGCCAATTCAGGGGTGAGCAAAAGGAGGTTTACATTTGTTCGTGGAGAAAGACATGCAGGTTATAATTATTACCAAAACTTTTTTAACTCAAAAGAATATCACTCACAAGTGCAAACCTTCCTTTTCCCACCCCTGTACCCTGCCTCAATTTTTCTTTTGAGTTCTTTTTTTTTTTTTGGCTTAGAACATAGTTCTTATATCTAAGGGGGAATTTATTAACCGTGTTGTTAAAAAACACTTTTGGGTGGCCATGAAAAATGTTCTTTATTTCCACTAGTCACCTGTCAGGCATGTACTGTCTCCAGGACGATAGGGGTATGAAGTACATTTACTGCAAGAGAGTGATAGCTTATTGTTTTTAGTGAAACTTCTTCTTTTAACTAATGTTGATTCCAGAGGAAATTCTTCTATATTCCATTTTCTTTAAAAAGGTATGATTTATACCTTTGAAATATTTTTTAAAATATGAACTTATCACTAAAAAGGCAGGCTGACATTGAACTTTCTGATGCATACTTGAAGATTAGGAATTCCTCTGAGTAGGAATTCATTTTTATTTGGAGAGACCTCAGCATGTGGATTTTGTAAAGCTCGCCATGTGGTTCCGTTGCACACCCACGCAAAAGAGAAAGACAGCAGTAGTTTTTCAGGAATATTGTGAATGTGTGCATTATCCAGCACAATCATTAAAGAATCACAGTGTCTAATTTAAATACCAGAACTTCTGGATGAGCATTCTAAGCTGAAGTCATTATAAAGTATACCTCTAATTAAATGTTGGCAGCTGTCTGCCAAAAATTATGATGGGTTTTAGAAAAGTGAGGAGTCCTTAGACTTTAATGTATATTAAAATCTTCTGGAGAGTTGTAAACAACTAAAACTAACTAAAAATACCAAGCCCTGTGCTTGTGGTTCATCTGTTAGACTTGTCCTGATGTACCAACATTGCAATGCCCAGTCAGTGAATGCATGAGTAAGTGAAACAACAAACCTATGTCCCTCCCTCTCTCCCTTCCTCCCTCTCTCTCCCTCTCCCTCCCCTCCTCCCACTCCCCCTCCCTCTCTTTTTCTCATCCCCCCTTCCTCCTTTCATTCCTCCTTCCTTCCCACCTTCTTCTCTCTCTGAAATAAATAAATAAATAAATAACATTAAAATAAATAAAAATTCCATCCCCAAAGATTTAACTGCCCCAGGCACTGGTGTTTTAAAATCTGCCTAAATGAATAGAATGTGTAGCCAGTATTGAGAACCACAGGATTAAGCTACTAGGTCTGTATATGAGTGAAACAATTTAAAAAGAAAGGGAAATTGTAGTGGTGGACCTGGATTTATAGTTGTGTTTAAAAACTGTTGGAAACCTTTGGAACTAATTTATTTTTGTTTTGTATCCTAGGGTCTCTATGGAAGTGTCATAGTGGCAGGAGGAAACACGCTAATACAGAGCTTTACTGACAGATTGAATAGAGAACTCTCTCAGAAAACTCCCCCAGTAAGTTTTCTTTGTTCTTTAGTGGTATTCTCCAGTCACAGGTATCCACGCTGGTGTAATTTCATAGTTAAGATTTGTTTTTCAGTACATAGGTATTTTGTATAGTGATTTTTAGAAAGAGAGAGGAAGGGAGAGGGATAGAGAGATAGAAACATTGATGAGAGAGAAACATCATCTATTGGTGCCTCCTGAATCCCTTTTGACTAGGAATTGAACCTGTGACCTCTTGGTTCCTGAGTCAGTGCTTAACCACTGAGCCACACCAGCTGGCTTAATATCCCTTATTAATCAAACTAGAGCCCCAGTGCCCGGCCTGTGCCCTCTCGCAGTCTGGGACCCCTCAGGGGATGTCCACCTGCTGGCTTAGGCCCGCTCCCTGGGGGGATTGGGCCTAAGCTGGCAGTCAGAGATCCCGCTGGCAGCCGAGGACCCCTCAGGGGATGTCCATTTGCCAGCAGGGAGCAGGCCTAAGCTGCAGTCGGACATCCTTAGCGCTGCTGAGGAGGTTGGAGAGGCTCCCACAACCACTGCTGTACTGGCAGCCATCAGCCTGGCTTGTGGCTGAGCAAAGCTCCCCCTGTGGGAGTGCACTGACCACCAGGGGGCAGCTCCTGCATTGAGCATCTGCCCGCTGGTGGTCAGTGTGTGTCATAGTGACCATTCATTCCCAGTCGTCTTGCTGTTAGGGTCAGTTTGCATATTACCTTTTTATTATATAGAATAGAGGCCTGGTGCACGGGTGGGGGCTACTGAAGGAGCCACAGATTGGGATAACTGGACTTGGTGTTGGAAGACATGAAGTACTATATGAAGCATTTAGCACCATACCTGACTTACAGTCAGCATTAAGTATGTGTTTGTGTTTATAAGATATTAAAAGTATAAATGCCATACTCTTTGGTATATATTTCTGTAAGTTTTATATAACTAATTTTCTTATTAAATATTACACATTAAAAGCCAAAGTTAAAGTACTTTATACAGTAGGTCAACTTATACCTACAAGCATAGCTTTTGCAAAAAAAATCATGAATAATCTGTGTTTAAATCAGTCATTACAAAGTCCTCAAAGGTAAATTTCCTAATTTGAATCACCTGTTGTATTTGATCATGTAAATAATATTTATTCTTCCCTCTCAATTTTAGAGTATGCGGTTAAAATTGATTGCAAATAATACAACAGTGGAGCGGAGGTTTAGTTCATGGATTGGTGGCTCTATTTTAGCTTCTTTGGTGAGTAAACTACTTGGAAAAATACCTAACAATTTGTGTTGAATGATTTAACCACTGAAAACACTAAATTTAATAAAAAGACAAAATAATTCCAGTGCACCATTTATCTTTGTATTTTATAACTATCATAAGAGTAGTTTCCCCTCTCAAACAGGTGGGAACCTGTTAATGTATTCACGCCTCTTCCAACTGTATTCTCTTTGGCACTGGTCAGAACGTACCTGCAGCATATTTAAAATTGAATAAATCCTTCTCGGGTTCTGGTTGCTCCCTGGCCTTTTGGTGAGAGAGAGGAAGTCAAGAATTGATTCTTGGGGCAAATGGTGCAGTCATGGTGCTGGCTTTTACATGGTGCTTAGACTGGTGCCTGCCTTGAATCAGAAGAAAAAGCTTTCATACTTATCTGCACCCTAGACTGGGGAATGTTCTCTTCAGAGCAATTAAATAAACGTCACCAAATACTTATGCTAAATATTTTTAAGCAATTATATATTTGGAGCTGTCCATGCATGTATTTCTTGTCTCTGTTCTATTTCCAGTCTTTTAGATCTCTGACCAAAATGAGATACTATGTCTGAATGCATTTGAATAGTCATGTAGTCCAGGTTCCTTTCTCCTTTGGTCTCTTTTCTCCTTTCACCTTCTGTGTTTCTTGGTGAAATGCTTGTTATTATCATTGTGTGTGCTTGCTAAATTTTATCCTACTTCTGATGAGCACTTTTCTAAATGTTACCATTAATCAATCTTAGACCATCTCTTCAGTTCTGTATCTGGTTCAAGCCTTGCACCAGTTTCTATTGCTGCCTTAGATTGGCACCAAGTCATCATAGCCAAATCCTCCGCCTTCCTTTCATAGCCTCTTTTTATCTGCATGACAGTGTAACTGGTATAGGAGGTTTAATATTCTTTCTAACATTAAGTAGTGTTTGTGGGTGTTCTGGAGGAGGGCAGAAACAAGAGAGGAATGGGACAGTATTTGGGGGGAGGTTTTAAGAGTTCGTCACAGATTAGGAGTTGTGAAAATAAAGATAAAATGTTTCTTTCCATTTTACAGGGCACCTTTCAACAGATGTGGATTTCCAAACAAGAGTATGAAGAAGGAGGGAAGCAGTGTGTAGAAAGGAAATGCCCTTGAAAAGTGTTCCCACACCTCTACCTTCCTGTCACCTTACGTTTCATAGCTTTAGTACACTCAGGAAAAGAATGACCATCTTTTGTAGAATGTTTATACATTTTTGCATATTTCAATTTCCACTTAAAATTTTCAAGGCTTTAACTGGCTCTATAAACTAAAATAAGTTTGTGCTTTCCTTGGGATGCACTTATTCTTATTATAAGCATTTTATAATTTTATATAAATGTCTATTTTCTCTAAATATTTTGCTTTCAGTCAAATGCTTTCCAACTCTGCTTAGTATTAATTACCAGTGGATTGATAGAATTGCTTTTTATTGATGAGTAAAACATATTGCCTATGCTTTTTACCTTAATAAAAATTGCTAGCCATCCAGAAACATTTTGGACTTACGTTGTCTTGTGACTTGATACTTTAAATACTAAATGTATTTATGAGCATTTTCAGTGAAAGTACTCATTATTTATTAACAGCAGTTAATCCACACCACCTCACATTCTAACAGTAGTAAAAATGTTAGTGGAATTGCTTTTGCTATAGTAGGTAACTTTACTTTCCCACTCTAAGATACAGATGATACTGAAGTCTGCTTAGATGTCATCTATATATATAAAAGGCTAAGTGACCAACCAACCATCTGGTACACATGATGTGTACTGGCAATTTAACACATTGTATGCGGGAAACGTATTTATACGTTTTACGTATTTATACGTTCTACCAGTGTAGTAGAGCGCGGGACACATATTAATACGTTTTTTATAGACTAGCGGTAGAATGTGGGTAACGTATAAATACGTAAACTAAAGTTATTGTAATTTTACTGAACGTTACCATTTGCGCAAAAAATTAGCAAAAATGGCCCGCACCACCTGTTAGCACGCGATAAAAACTACCCGCAAACAATGTGTTAAAAATAAATGTTGACTCGTGCATGCGTGATTCATATAAAGCTCTCGCTGGCACCAATTGCACACGTGTTTTAATTTTATACTACTACTAGAGCCCCGATGCACGAGATTCTTGCAAGGGGCTCAGCCCTCGCAGCCCCAGCTGTGTCCGGATGGTCATTCTGCTGTCCGGTCTAATTAGCATATTAGCTCTTTTTTATATAGGATTATATAGGATATTATATACACTATTTTGACATGTAATTTTTTGCAGTAACATAATTACCACACAAATCTTTCTTCTAATTAATTTCCATTCAAAGGGCACAATTCCGTGCACCAGGCCACTAGTAATTTATAAAATGGAAATGGAACCTGAACTTGATACCTGATTTTTTAAAAATTTGATAGAAGCATGACTACTTCCAAAATTAGCAGGCCATATTAACACTTAAAACAGTTGCTAGTCATTTGACTAAAATATGGTTTCTTTATAAACCACTTGACATATAGTTACTTTCGTATACATATTGTTTATGTAAGAAAAACAAATTGGTAAATTAAGAGTTCAGACATCTTGGACAAGACTTGACTTCTGGGCTTCAGAAAGATGTGGAAACTTTTCCTGAAGAAGTTTTGCTTTCTTTTTCTCTAAATTTCTCTTCCTTATTTGGATCCGGGCGTGTTTCTCTCGTTTCAGTCTAGAATAAAAGTAACAGCAAATTATACAGAAATCTTTCTCTGTTAGTCAATACTGTCAAACTATGTCCAAATCAATTACTTAAAGCCTGAATCCTGACAGTTTCAATATTAGGTGTGTCATGTATATTATAAAACTGGAACAATCACTATAAACCTACAGGTCAAAGATAAATGTGAAATCAAAAGCATCTATAACCCTGCAGCAATTCTCCTTATTTCCTGCCTAGAATGAACAGATCTTCTGACCCTGTAAAAGAATGATCTATCTTTCTACCTTATTTAAAATCACTACAATTTTACTGACTACATCCGATTTTTTACATCCTGAGACTTTTGGGAATTCCCTAATTTCGAATAGCACTCAGTCTAGCATATCCTTTCTCCTACAACAGAGAGAATAAAGCCATGTCTAGAGATGATGCTTAGAGTCACCACTCTTAAGTGAGATTGCTTGTACCCATCAGCATCCCAGGGCATGAGGCATTTTGTACCTCAACTATATTATGTTGACTCTAGGGTCACGTAGGAATTGTCAAAACTATAAATGGTAAGTTTATGGATGCCAAGCCTCTACAGCACTGAAGCTAAAATTTAATACAGAAACAAGTACTGAATAACTAATATGCCAGTGCTATGGTAGAGGTCACAGAAATTGGAGATAAGGGTTACACTTGGGAGAAGACGACAAAAAACAAACACATCATATAAGCTACCTTGTAAATTAAATATAATGTAAATGTAAGATTAAAGAAGGTTGAAATCAGATTACCCTTCTATTCATTAATCTTTGCTCCAACTAAATTTTGGCCACTTATAATAACCATATCTGGAAGAATAAAGGTTATTCTTAAGAATATTTGAGAGATTACAGTACATGCTTTGAAGACTAAAAAAGGTACTTTCGAAAAGAGAATAATGAGTATAAAGCCTATAAGAGTAACACTGGATTCATAATTTCTCATACATTGTTTTAACCCTTTGTACTCCATAAGCGTCTATAGACGCAAGCGGCGGACCTTCTCCACACACCACGCGCATCTATAGCTGCAAACCTCACATATCAATTCATTGCCCAATTTTAAAATCAGACTTGTTAGTGACATCTCTGGGTTTGTAAAGAAAATTATGGTAACAAATTTGTAAATATTCCAGTGCACATGGAAGAAATGGGGAGGTTTCCATTTTGGATGCGTGGCAGTTAACTGGTTAAAAGTCATATTATTGCCCTAGCCGGCTTGGCTCAGTGGATAGAGCATCAGCCTGAGGACTGAGGGGTCCCAGGTTCCATTCCGGCCAAGGGCACATGCCTGGGTTGCGGGCTCAATCCCCAGTAGGGGGTGTGCAGTAGGCAGCCAATCAATGATTCTCTCTCATCACTGATGTTTCTATCTCTCCTTTTCCCTTCCTCTAAAATCAATAAAGAAATTGAATAAAAAAAAAATAAAATAAAATAAAAGTCATTATTTATAGCTTCTCCTTACATGACTAAGGGTGGAAAGATCAAATGGGAAAACATTAGGCTTGGCAAAAAAAACAACCAGTGCAGTTAAGATTATTTTCAATCACTTAGCATCTGAACTGGGTCTTAAAATGTGCATAGATGGAGAGACTTCAAAGCTGTAGGAACAGGAAGAAGCAGCAAAAGAAAACGAACAAGTTATGTTTAGGAAACCAGAAAAAAGGTCTGACTGGTGCAGGGTAAGTACTAAGACTGAACTGTGGGAACACTGGGTGAAAAGAGGTTTGGATTTTATCCTGTAGATAAGAAACTACAGTTTTAAGGTCTCAAAAGCAATGATGTGATAAAACGGTGTAAGGAAAATTAGTCTGAATGGAAGCAATATCTGAACAGACTCAAGCAAGAAAGGTGTCCAACAATTCAACTTGATAAAGAGGGACTGCACTAGGGCAGAGAGAGTGGGAGGAGGAAAGGCAGATCCTGGAGACATTCTGCAAGAAAAATTAAATCAAGGACTGACAATCTAGAGCACCGGTGATGAAAAAGATGAATGACATTTAGTATTGACTTAGAATGGGTATCTACACTAATAAAAGACAAACATGCAAATTGACCATACCTTCACTATGCCTTAAGCCATGCCCACCAGCCAATCAGAGAGACTATATGCACATTAACCCAACCAAGATGGCGGCTGGCAGCCATGGAGCTGGAGCAAGCAGGAGGCTTGGTTGCCCCAATGATGGAGGAAGCCAAGCTTCCCGCCTGCCATGGCCTGGCTCTGAGCTCCACTCAAAGCAACCAAGTTTCAATTATAAAAGGTAAATAAACCAAAGACATCTGCTTTCAGCCAGCCACAGAGCTAGAGCGAGCATGAGGCTGGGTTGCCCCTAGCGATGAAGGAAGCCAAGCTTCCCTCAGGCCCTACCTGGCCGGCTCCGAGCTCCTCTCAAGGCTACCAAGTTTCAATTATAGAAGGTAAATAAATCCAAGAATAAAAAAATTAAAAAAAAGAATAAAAGGAGAGGCTGGGAGCTTCTGTCGCCGGGGAGGCTTGGCCAGTCTGAAAACGGCCCTCAGCCCCTCACCCAGACTGGCCAGGCACCCCAGTGGGAACCCCCCATCCTAAAGGGTGTGTGACCAGCCTGAAAACAGCCATCGGCCCCTCACCCAGGCTGGCCAAACCTCCATGGGGTGAGGGTCCCCACTGGGGGAGGCTTGACCAGCCTGCAAACAGCCATCAGCCCCTCACCCAGGCTGCCCAGGCCCCCCAGCGGGACCCCCACCCTAATCCGGATCACCCTTCAGGGCAAACCAGCCAGCCCCAACCCATGCACCAGGCCTCTATCCTATATAATAAAAGGGTAATATGCAAACTGACCCTACAAGCAGAACGACTGGTCACTACGACACACACTGACCACCAGGGGGCAGATACTCGATGCAGGAGCTGCCCTCTGGTGGTCAATGTGCTCCCACAGGGGGTGGCTCTGCTCAGCCACAAGCCAGGCTGATGGCTGCCAGTACAGCGGTGGTGGTGGGAGCCTCTCCTGCCTCCTCAGCAGCACTAAGGATGTCCGACTGCAGCTTAGGCCTGCTCCCTGATGGCAAGTAGACATCCCCCAGGGCTCCTGGGCTGCCAGAGGGATCTCTGACTGCCAGCTTAGGCCCAATCCCCCCGGGGAGCAGGCCGAAGCCATCAGTCGGACATCCCCCGAGGGCTCCCAGACTGTGAGAGGTCATAGGCCAGGCTAAGGGACCCCTCCTCCCTGAGTGCACAAATTTCATGCACCAGGCCTCTACTGTAGATAAACGGGTTTTGGACCTAATTTCACTGGTGGTGGGGTTTCCCACACCACCAACAAGCAATGGTCAGACACCACCAGTGTGTGGAGAATTCGACTCAATTCTCATACTACCTACCCAGGGATGGTGCCAGAGGTTGTCACCTACACTTCCAACGACTCCCTCCTCGGACTTCAAACACCAGTCACAAATCCAAGTTGTTACCTGTACTTCTTAACTGACTGGCTAGAACAGATCACAGAACTAAGGAAACCTGTTTACTCACCAGCTGATTTGTTATAAAAGGATATCACTCAGGAACAGACTGTCAAATGACATGCATAGCACAAGGTTTGGGGGAAAGGGTGGCATTTCCATGGCCTCTCCCTCCAGCCACCACTCTCCCCAAATCTCCATCTGCTCACCAAACCAACTCTCCAAACCCTGTCCTTTTGGTATTTTCTTTTTATGGAGGCAACATCACATAGGCACTACTGGTGAAATTATTGACCACTGGCAATTGATTCAACCTCCGCCCCTCTCCCTTCCCCAGAAATCAGGGGCTGGAATTGAAAGTTTCAATCATCTAGTCAAGGTTGGTTTCCCTGGCAGCCAGGCCCCAACCTTGAGTGGCTTCCAAAAGGCATCATTAACATTAACAAAAGACATTCTCTTTCTATTTTTCTGGCATTAAGAAATGGGTTTAGGAGCTCTGAGACAGAAACAGGGACAAGGTAAACACATATTTCTTACTATAAATCACACCACCACCACAATAGATAAAACTAGAAATAAAGAAAGGTAGCTGGTTTGGTGGGGTAGATACATTTTAAACTGTGATTCTAAAGCATACTAAAATACCTTTAAGATCAGTTTAAATATGTATTTCATTCCTATTTAAATTATTTTTTATAGTTTTTTATTTTTGGATATGGAAACAAGTTTTTGGGGGAGAAAGTCAGTGTTTAAAGAAATCTTGCTGAAAGTTGGACATGCTATGTAAGGCAGTTCTTAAAAGCTGTGGTTCTTGTGCTGCTAGGATCTCCCCTTAAATTTCCAGCTGCTTTCCTGCCTTGAATTCTGAACTCGAGCAACTTTAGCCAGTAACTCTGTAGTTTCCACATTCTTGTGCTTTTTTGGTAGCCACAGTTAGGGAGTTGAGTGGCACCCTTTCCCTGGAAACCACAAACCTGCAATTCTCCCTTCCAATAGAAGTTCTGGGGTTTCATCAACCTTGCAATAACATTAGCTCACATTTTATGCAACTAAAGTATCTGGACCTTCCTTTTAACATTATAGAAAGATTTAACCATTTACTTACATATAGACTGAAGAATAGAAAGGCAATAAAACTTTTAAAAGATATACACTAGAACAGTGGTTGCCAACCTTTCAGACCTCGTGGACCACCAGTGGTCCTCAGACCACCAATTGGTGACCACTGCTCCAAAGGTTTCCTTAAACCAGTGGTCGCCAACCTTTTGGACCTCACGGACCACCGGTTGGCAACCGCTACACTAGAAAGTTAATAGAAGACTATTTCTGGATGGTGAGATTATACAAAACTTTAATTTTTTTTTTTTACCTGATTTTTCTATTTTTTCCACAATGAATATATACTTATTTATGTAAGACATGTCATCTGATGTAAGGATGTTTCATTAGTAAGGGCGCTTGTGCTCACCTGTCAAAATGTTCCACATAGGGCATTGCAAAGAATCGTTTCCTGTTGTACCTTTTATTTAGGTACCAAGGTATAGGCCACTGTTTGAACTTGTGCCTGCAAAGAAAGCAAGAAGGTATCGCCTTACAGAAAACATTTAATACATTTGCAAACCGACACAGTTTTAGCTTTCTTTGGACTAAATATGTTGTCAATAAATTGAAAGCAAAATAAAAAACCCTTGAAGAGAATAACACTCTTAGAGATTCTAAAATTGACACAGATTCTCTCCGCATTCCCACCCTTTCCAAACTGACCAAAACTGGATTAATCCAAATAAGAATTAGTAGAAAATAAAATACTTCAGAGTATTTGGTTAGATGTTTTAGCAATTTATCTCTTTTCTGCACTGGATTACATGGTTAAGATTGCACAGCTACTCTCCTAAATGTGGCCCCAGGCAGCTCCATTACCCCAAACTCCATTAAAGAACTCATCTAATGAGTAAGCAACATTATGTAATGTAATTTCAACCACCCAAAATGCCTTCTCCATTTTGCTGGCCAATGTTTAAAATTCTATTAACAATGTTTCCTTTTGGCAGCTCAAACCCCTGGCAGAGAGAGAACACACTGGGTCTTTTCAATTATTTCCATCTCAGTATAAATGTTTATTATCAGATCTTTTCCCAAGGTCTGGTAGGACTTTGGGAACCAGACTTAGGAGACAAGATTAAACTGTTTCATAACTTGTTCTAGGGCAGCGGTTCTCAACCTGGGGGTCGAACGACCTTTTCACAGGGGTTGCCTAAGACCATCGGAAAATACATATATAATTACATATTGTTTTTGTGATTAATCACTATGCTTTAATTATGTTCAATTTGTAACAATGAAATTGGGGGTCACCACAACATGAGGAACTGTATTAAAGGGTCACGGCATTAGGAAGGTTGAGAACCACTGTTCTAGGGCTTATCCTGGCTCATGTGGCCTTATTCCTCAAAAACTTCTTTTCAATAAGCCTAGGTTCTCAATGAATAAAGAGGACAGGCTTGTGTCCTAAAATTAGCTTCATGGCATTTATCACCCTCTGAATTACATATACACTATACATTTTTCTGGGAAAAGGATCTATAACTGTCATCAAATCCTCCAAAGATCATTTGATTCACAGAAGAAGATTAAGAACCGCTGTGATAAAGCACCTTTAGATAACTGAATTATGAGAATGGGATGCCTGGACTACTAGATAAATCTACCCTCATTCATATTCTGTAGCTCTAAAGCGGTTTTGGGACCTCTGTTTATATTAGATATATCTCTAATATAGCTAATACACCTTATACAGTGAGATATTGGACAGGGGAAGCAGCAAGGGACTTCCACTCTCGTCTTAGAAAAGCCACAATGTCAACTATGTACCAGATGATTCTTCCAAAGATGTCTTTTCTCCAGGCACCAGGTCTAGGTTTTTCTTGACCCGTCTGAAGGAGCCTTAGGGCATCTTCTCGTTCCTGGACAACTTTATCGAGTGCATCCATGGATTCTATTACCTGAGAAGAGAACAGAAAGATATAATTTCAATCACCTACAACAGAATTCCAAAGAAAGAGAACATATAAAGATTATGCCACAGAAAACCTATGAATATTTTTGTCCAAGAGCCATTCCATCAAAATCTCCTGCAATTTCACCCCTAGGTATCTACCCAAGAGAAATACAAGCACATGTCCACCCATACGTTGCGAGTTGTAGGGAGGAATGGGAAGTGACTGCAGATGGGCACAAGATTCCATTTGAGGTGATGGAAATGTTCTAAAATTAGGCAGTAGTGATGGTTATACAACTCTGTATATTAACTAAACATCAAGCAGAAATAGAAAACATGTATTTGACAGGAAATATAGGAATCATTCACTCACTCCTGTTAATTTTACCCCACAGAACAGCCAGCCTCCCACAGCCTTACTTTTTCTAGCCGCTCCGGGCTTGGCATTGGTAGTATCTGCCGCTTGGCCTCCTGCTCTAGAGTTAGGAGCATGTTTCTTTCTTTCAGTAGGACATACCTATATCAAAACACAGAGCTTGTAATGCTATTTTGTGACAACATTAATAAAGTTGCAATTTAAAATTTTTTTATTTTTATTTTATTGATCTTAGAGAGAGGAAGGGAGGGAGAGAGAGAGAGAGAGAGAGAGAAACATGACTGTGAGAAACATTGATCAACTGCTTCCCACACACGCCCCAACCAGGGATCGAACCCAAAACCTGGATATGTACTCTGACTGGGGAATCGAACCTGTCACCCCTCAGTGTATAGGACGACATTCCAAGCCACGCTGGCCAAGGCTAAAGTTGTGATTTTTGACATAAAAATTAATGATCTGTTCTCAAAAGTCTTTTAGAAATCTCGATATACAGAATATCATTACAAGGAATAATCCTTTAAACAGAGCTATATCTACTCTTACTCATTTGTTCAATAAATTTTCCCTGCATCACATATTGTATTAAGTGCCAAGAGAGTTACAAAAAAGCATAAAACATAACCCCTATATTCCAAGTGGAGAGATGAAAGATAAATGATCCAGTCAGTGCCTGTTAATGCTAAGCACTGTGTTACACACGTTACATAATTTTCATTTAATTCTTACAACTACCCTTTGTGGTTATTATGGCCACTTTCTAAATGAAGAAACCAAGGCTGAGAGAACCAGGGTATTCTCGAGCACATGACTAATTCAAGCTTCAAATCCTGGGCTCCCCGTGTGCAAAACCTTCTCTATTTTTATTCCACCAGGCGGCCTCAGGAGCTGCAATGTGATGTGGTGTATGAGTGATACAGACAAGTACCAGAGGAGTAAGTGGGAGAGAGGAGACGTTTCTTCTAGACAAGATGATCAAGAAAAGCTTCACAGAGATGTGATTTGTTAGACTGGAAAGGAAAGCAAAGCTGAATCAAAGTTACTGAGTAGCAAGCTGAAGTGAGGGTAGGTTTTGTGAATAACTGTTTGATTAAGAATTAGAGCTGAAATACCAATGGCATATTTCACAGACCTAGAACGAACTCTCCAAAAATTCATCTGGAATAAAAAACGGCCCCGAATAGCTGCAGCGATCCTGAGAAAGAACAAAGTAGGTGGGATCTCAATACCAGATATCAAGTTGTATTACAAAGCCACTGTTCTCAAAACTGCCTGGTACTGGCACAAGAACAGACATATAGATCAATGGAATAGAATAGAGAGCCCAGAAATCAGCCCCAACCAATACACTCAATTAATATTTGACAAAGGAGGCAAGAACATACAATGGAGTCAAGATAGTCTCTTCAGTAAATGGTGTTGGGAAAATTGGACAGATACATGCAAGAAAATGAAACTAGACCACCAACTTACACCATACACAAAAATAAACTCAAAATGGATAAACGACTTAAATATACGACGGGAAACCATAAAAATACTAGAAGAATCCAAAGGCGACAAAATCTCAGACATATGCCGAAGCAATTTCTTCACCGATACAGATACTAGGGCATTGGAAACTAAAGAGAAAATAAACAAATGGGACTACATCAAAATAAAAAGTTTCTGCACAGCAAAAGAAACCATCAACAAAACAACAAGAAAGCCCACTGTGTGGGAAAACATATTTGCCAATGCTATCACTGATAAGGGTTTAACCTCCAACATTTATAGGGAACTCATACAACTCAACAAAAGGAAGATAAACAATCCAATCAAAAAATGGGCAAAGGACCTAAATAGACACCTTTTAAAAGAGGGCATTCAGAGAGCCAAGAGACATATGAAAAGATGCTCAAAGTCACTAATCATCCGAGAGATGCAAATCAAAACAACAATGAGGTACCATCTCACACCTGTCAGACTGGCTATCATCAACAAATCAACAAACGACAAGTGCTGGAGAGGATGTGGAGAAAAAGGAACGCTTGTGCACTGCTGCTGGGAATGCAGACTGGTGCAGCCACTATGGAAGACAGTATGGAGTTTCCTCAAAAAACTCAAAATGGATCTCCCATTTGACCCTGTGATCCCACTTCTAGGAATATATCCCAAGAAACAAGAAACACCAGTCAGAAAGGATATATGCACCCCTATGTTCATAGCAGCACAATTCACCATAGCTAAGATCTGGAAACAGCCTAAGTGCCCATCCGTAGATGAATGGATTAGAAAACTGTGGTACATCTACACGATGGAATACTATGCTGCTCTAAAAAGGAAGGAACTCTTACCATTTGCAACAGCATGGATGGAACTGGAGAGCATTATGCTAAGTGAAATATGCCAGTCAATGAAGGAAAAATACCACATGATCTCACTCATTTCTGGATAATAAAGACCATTATAAACTTATGAACAATAATAGATACAGAGGCAGAGCTGCCTCAAACAGACTGTCAAACTACAGCAGCAAGGCCGGGGAGGGTGAGAGGGCAGGAGGGGGGTGGGTAAGAGATCAACCGAAGGGCTTGTATGCATGCATGTAAGCATAGCCAATGGACATAAGACACTGGGGGGTGGGGGAGGCCAGGGGATTGTCAAGGGTGGGAAAAAAAGGAGACATATGTAATACTCTTTGTAATACTTTAAGCAATAAAAAAAAAAAAAAAGAATTAGAGCTGAAGGAAAGTAAAGGAAATAAATGTGGAGAGCACTGAACAGGAGACAAAGGAACTGGGGTCCTTTATGCAATAAAAAGACAATATGTGGCAGAAGATAGATTGTTTGGTTTTTTCCATGATGAAATTTGTTTAAAAAATTGATTTGAGAGAGAAAAAAAACATCAATTTGTTGTTCCTCTTATTTATGCATTTGCTTGTTGATTCTTATATGTGCCCTGACCAGGGATTGAACCCACAACCTTGGTGTATCAGGACAACACTCTAACCAACTGAACTACCTGGCCAGGGCCAGCCACGATGAATATTGAAACAGCCCTAACTAGCCTTTTACTAATAACTCACAGTAACAATGCTTTAGGCACATATTACACATCTTATTTTAATGAGACTTATTTGTCTATAATAAATCTGTGCTGGTTTACACATAACACTGACACCAAATGAGAGTTTTTTCTCCCTTTGCCCTTCCCCCTCCCCCCCCATTAACCCCTTTTCCATCCTCTTGATACCAAATGTGTTGTCTTTCCCAGCACCCCTCTCCAACTCTGACACGACCTGGAGTTAGCATTAGATTCCACAGAGTTAAGGGCTCACTCCATAAGACTGTCCCCCACTTCAGATGCCAGCAGCAAGTTCCAGGGCTACCACACATCTGGCTGACCCGCTATAAAGTGGGAGTTCCAACGACCCCCTCCTTGGGTTCAGGAATTTGGTAGACTGGCTCACAGAACTCAGGAAAGCACTTTACTTACTATTACTGGTTTAGTACAAAGGATACAACTCAGAACATCCCAATGGAAGAGATGCAGAGTTGCTATGCTTTCTCAAGGCATGCCCCCTCCATGTGTTCAACAAACTACAAGCTCTCCAAACCCAACTGCTTAGGGATTTTTATGGAGGTTTCATTATGTGGGCACTATAGACCAAATCACTGACCACTAATGACTGAACTCAATCTCCAGTACCTCTACCCCTTCCCAGAGGTAAGGGGGGTGGTGAGCCTGAAAGCTCCACCCTTCACTCCTGCCTTGTTCTTCCTGGTGCCCAGCGACCATTCTGAGACACCATTCCCTCACCAAGAGTTGCCTAATTTGAACAAAAGACACTCCTATCACTCAGGAAATATCAAGGGGTTTAGGAGCTGTGTCTGTGAATGGGGACAAAAACCAAATAGATATTTCTCATTGTATCACACGATACACCTATAATATCTGTGGTTCTTACAAGCATTTTATAACTCTATAATCTGCCCTGAAAGAGAAATAACCCTGTAAGGAGGGGATAAAACTTTAAATGCCAACCCGGTGCTTAGCCAGATAACAATTACCAGTGAGGTGAGCTTGGTGGAAGAAGAGGATGGGTGAGGAGTGACATGCACTGCTCCGAGCAGTGGCTGCATGGACCAGCCAGTTGTAGTCATGCGGCCAGTGCTGCCAGATCACAGGTCTGATTATTAAAGAGCAGCCAGAAATCTTTACTTTTGTGTGAAATCTCTCAATTTAAAAAATATAGTAAAGCCCAAACAAAACATATTTTTGGCTAAATACTGTCATTTAATGTAGGGGTGGGAGGGTGGGCAAAATATGTGAAGGGGGTCAAAAAGTACAAATGTCTACTTATAAAATGAGTAAGTCACATGACTACAGTTAATACTATTGTATTGCGTATTTGAAAGTAGCTAGCAGAGTGGATCACAAAAGTTCTCATCTCAGGAAAAAAGATTTGTACTATGTGTGGTGATGGATGTTACCTAGGCTTACTGCGATGATCATTTTGCAATATATACAAATACTGAATGATTGCATTGTACACCTGAAACTAATATGTTACATCAATTATACCTCAATAAAAAAAATTTTACATATATATATATATATATATATATATATATATAGTCAATTAAAATACAACCCTGTCGCCCTAGCCGGCTTGGCTCAGTGGATAGAGCATCAGCCTGTGGACCAATGGGTCCCAGGTTCGATTCCGGCCAAGGGCACATGCCTGGGTTGCGGGCTCGATCCCCAGTAGGGGGCGTGCAGGAGGCAGCCGATCAATGATTCTCTCTCATCATTGATGTTTCTATCTCTCTCTCCTTCTCCCTTCCTCTCTGAAGTCAATAAAGAAATATGTTAAAAAAAAAAAATACAACCCTGTCGCCCTGACCGGTTTGGCTCAGTGGACAGAGCGTCGGCCTGTGGACTGAAGGGTCCCAGGTTCGATTCCGGTCAAGGGCATGTACCTTGGTTGCGGGCACATCCCCAGTGAGGGGTGTGCAGGAGACAGCTGATCGATGTTTCTAACTCTCTATCCCTCTCACTTTCTCTCTGTAAAAAAATCAATAAAATATATTTTAAAAAAATACAACCCTGTCTTAAATCCTCTCAACTCTAATTCATCAGAAGAAACTGCCTGAAAATCTACATAAATTCCCAATTAAATGCACCCTCCAACACAGTTTTCCAAAGCAAATAAGCTAAAGATTTCAGATCATGCAAAAGATAATAAAGAGGAAGAAGGCCTAAATGTGACCAACTCTTGTCCATTTCACTTTATTAGCTTACTGGAATCCTCCTATCTAATAATAGACAAACATAGTAATTGACCGTACCTTCGCTACGCCTTCCATTGGCTAATCAGTGTAATATGAAAATTAACCGCCAACAAAGATGGCAGCTAATTTGCATACTGCAGGTAGGGCAGGACAGCACGAACTGCCAGCACGCTGCCATCCAGGGCAGGCCCAGCCCCGCCTTGCCGCTCGGGACCCCATCGGCAGGTCCCTAGTGGCAAGGCAGCCCAGCCCCAGAAGCCCCAGGAGCTGGCCCCACCTTGCTGCCCAGGACCCAATCGGGTCCCTGGTGGCAAGGAAGGCGGGACCCAGAAGCCCCAGAAGCCAAGACAGATTATGAGGGTGAATCAAAAACAAAACCCACTTTAAATATAAAGACATATATAGATGAAAAGTAAATGAATTAAACTGCAGCCTGTTTTGCTCAGTGGATAGAGCATTAGCCCGTGGACTGAAGGGTCCCAGGTTCGATTCCAGTCAAGGGCATGTACCTCAGTTGCTGGCTTGATCCCCAGTCCCTATCAAAGCATGTGCAGGAGGCAACCAATCAATGTGTCTCTCCCTTTCCCTCACTCTCTCTAAAATTCAGTGGAAAAATATCCTTGGGTGAAGATTAACAAAAACAAAGTAAATGGATTAAGTAACATTAAAGAGATTATAAGAAAAATATATTCCCAATTTTGTTAGTTGTATAATGGTTATGTTTAAATTATTAACACCTAATAAATTTGATGAAGGGTACATATAATATGCTGTAGTATTTTATAGTTTCTTTTTACATGTCTGAGATTATTTCAAATTAAAATATTAGAAAATTAAAAGTTAATAAAATATTAATTGAAATGTATCTGCATTACATGAAAAATCTAATTGCTTCTAGCATAATTTATTAAATTGTGCTAAAATTTACAAGGGTTCAATTTAAAAATATCTTAATTCTAAATGATATAATAGAAAATATATAATAGTGCAGTTATAAGCACTTATCTGAAAATAAAAATTTAAAGAAGTGAATTTAAAGAAGGGATTAGCCAAAGAAAATATATGCACAACCCATGGACACAGACAACAGTATGGTGATGGCCAGAGAGAAGTGGGGGGGCAAGAGCTGGGTAGAGGGGGCAAAAGGGGGAAACTAGGGACAACCTATATAATAATAATAAAAGGCTAATATGCACATTGACTGAATGGCAGAATGACTGGTTGCTATGATGCGCACTGGCCACCAGGGGGCAGATGCTCAATGCAGGAGCTGCCCGCTGGTGGTCAGTGCACTTCCATATGGGGAGTGCCACTCAGCCAGAAGCTGGCTCATGGCTGGCCAGTGCAGTGGTGGTGGCAGGGGCCTCTCCCACCTCCGTGGCAGCACTAAGAATGTCCAACTAACGGTTTAGACCTGATCCCTTGGGGGCCTAAGCCTTTAGTCGGACATCCCCCGAGGGCTCCCTGGCTGCCAGAAGGATGTCTGACTGCAAGCTTAGACCTGATCCCCCGGGGAGTGGGCCTAAGTCGACAAGTGGACATCCCCCAAGGGGTCCTGGACTGTGAATGGGCGCAGGCCAGGCTGAGGGACCCCCCCCTTCGAGTGCACAAATTTTTGTGCACCGGGCCTCTAGTTGTTAATATAAAGGTGTAGCATGACTGGTAGCAATAAAATTTCTAAACTCCCAACTACTTGAGAACTCTGGTACATTTGTCTTAATATAACTTAACCTGTCATATTTATAAAATTTATAATGACCTTATGTACCATCCACTGTACTGTGAGACAAACAACTTTGCTCAATTTCTTACGGCACATAAAGTTTATACCTCCTCGTTATACTAAATTGCTTCCAATACCGAGACCAAGCATGTCAAACTCGAGACCTGTGGGCAAATATTTTTGTGGCCCAGCCAATATAACGGTATGTAAGAAACGTTTTAATAAAAATTTCATAACTTAATTTTTACAATATCCTGTTATACATATTAATAATGAACTACAACGTTCACTAATGACTGATTACTATAATCGTGTTGCACTCATTTCCCTTATGCGCCTTCGACGCCTTCTGTGTAAGCGCACCATCTCTCTCCACTAATATTAGCAGCGAATATTTAGCAGCCAATTGCCACCTCATTAGTCTTGGACTGACTTGTTTGGTGTGTGTAACAGGAAATATTTGGCTTTCAGAGAACAAGAAAAATAGGTTTATTTGCATTACGCTTATTAATTTGTGCAGTTATTCAGTGTCTGGTAAGTTAATGTTAAAGAAAAAATATTAATTTTTATTAAAATATTCTATTATTTTATGTTAGCTATTACTCATTTATTTCAGCCCTTTGTATTCAGCATGTGTCTATCGAAATAAACCTATGTTTCTATGAAAATTGAAGCTTTTGTTTTTTTGCGGCCCACATAAACTTAAACCTTGTTTATTTGTCCCGTTAGTTAGTCTTTGAGTTTGACATGCTTGATCTACATGTTCATGTACTCAGTATACTTACCAAAGTTTATGTAAATCTTCATTACTTTTGTTCCTTAACTGCTGACAGGTCCATGCAGCTCCTATTAAAATGATAAATTCATAACATGAAATAATTTTCTAGCTATGTGTCCTTTCGCAAATTAACCTTTTAAACCAGTTTCCTCATCTGTAAAATATATTATAGCTTTATTATATTACAGTATAAAATGCAACTAGAATTAAAGTGGGGTTAAATTAGCTAACACATGAAAATATGAGTAATGAGACTGGCATCAGCATTCAAAAATGTTAGTATGATTATAGAATGTATTTTCACAGTTTAAGGTAAAAATACATCATTATAAATTAATTTTCAATTATCTTTAAAAAATAAAACTTAAGCCCTGATCAGGTAGTTCACTTTGTTAAAGTGTCATCCCAATACACCACAGTTGCAGGTTCAATCCCTGGTCAATCCACATACAAGAATCAACTGCTGAATGCATAAACAAGTGGAACAACAAATCTATGTCTGTCTGTCTCTCTGTCTCTATCTTTTTCCTTCCTTCTCCTCTCTCTCTTCCTCTCTCTATAATAAAGTAAAAAAACACTATTTTTTAAAAATAAAATCTAAAACAAAGCCAAGCATCAATTTAGTGAAAAAATTTAAGCCTACTCCTCTTCTAAACCTTTTGTCAAGCTGCCAAGGAACAATTAACTCTATCCTATTGTCCTTTTAATTTTCGCTAATAGACATTCCTAAAGGAAATAAAAGAAAAGAAACACCCAAGTAATTCCTAAACTGGATAGATAATCCCAACATGATGGATGGTTCAAAAAATGTATTTAATACCAATCAACCCAAATACCTCACCAGATTTCACTTTTTCTTCTCCCCAGTTCTTTGGGTCATCAAAAAATTCTTCCAGTCCTTTCCTTGATAATGTGGTATGAAGTATTCTACACTGGTGTAAAGATGTGACACTTGGTATACTCTTAGGCGACAGAATAAGAGAAAACCTGCAATTGAACATATATAAACAATTGCTACCCTATAATTTCAGAGGTGACATATTTATATTTATATTTTAAGGTAACATGTAGGTCCTTCATAAACTGCGGGTGGGCATATGAGTAGGTTAAAATTATTCTGAAGGTTAATTTTGCAACATGTTTTAGAGGCTCCAATGTTTCTTCCCTAAATCACTAAGTCCACATCTAGAAATTTCAACTAAAGAAATATCATAGATGGAAACTGATAAATGTAAATATCTATTAAAGCATTATATATGATATTAAAAAGTTGATATTGTAAATGTGCAATCATGAGTGGTTTAAAAAATTATTATGTGTCCATATGACAATCTATTATACGGCAATTTAAAAATCATGTTTTTAAAGAATATTTAATGACCTGGTAAATCATTTAAAATACAATAGTGAAGCATGTCACAAGCGTTGCATTCCTACCAAAAAAATTAACCTGAATCTAATCATGAGGAAACAATCAGACAAACCCAAATAGAGAGATATTCTAAAAAGACTGATCTTATAAAAAAGAAGTCAATGTCATGAAAGAAAAAAAGGAACCATTCTGGATTTTAAAAGATTAAAGAGACATGCCAACTAATGCAAAAAAATGAATGCTGTTTGGACCCTGAATAAAAAAAAAAATAGAAAGAAAAAAATTATCAGGACAACTGAGGACATTTGAATTTGGGCTATAATAGTATGTATCAGTATTAAATTCTTCAGTGTGTGAATTACTGGCTCAGTGGATAGAGTGTTGGCCTGCAGACCGAAGGGTCCAAGGTTTGATTCTGGTCAAGGGCATGTACTTGGGTTGCAGGTTCCTCCCCAGCTTGGGCCCTGGTCAGAGCATGTGCAAGAGGTAACCATCGATGTGTTTCTTTCACATCAATATTTCTCTCTGTCTTTCCCTCTCTCTTCCACTCTCTTTGAAAATCAATGGAAAAATATCCTTGAGTGAGAATTAAAAACAACAACAAAAACATTGTTCTTGTTCTTATGAGATATATGCTGAAGTGTCATGATGCTTGCAATTAGGACATGCCTCAAATAGTTCAGGGGGGGAAAAGGCCTGGATATAAAGTGATTAAAAAAATGTAATAAAATGCTAAAGGTTGCCCTAGCCGGTTTGACTCAGTGGATGGAGTATCGCATCGGCCTGAGAACTGAAAGGTCCCAGATTTGATTCCAGTCAAGGGCACATGCTTGGCTTGTGGGCTCTATTTCCAGTGGGGGGCTTGCAGGAGGCAGCCAATCAATGATTCGCTCTCATCATTGATGTCTGTCTCTCTCTCCCTCTTCCTTCCTCTCCAAAATCAATAAAAATATATTTAAATAAAAATGCTAAGGGTTGATTAATATAGATAAAGAGTATATGGTTATTCTTGGTACAACTTTCCTGTTGTTCTGAAATTCTGAAAAATAAAAAGTTGGGGAAACAAGGGTAGAGCACAAGAATGTATATGTGTAAATATAGTCCTGATTTTATTTTAAAACTAGAGGCCCAGTGCACGAAATTTGTGAATGGGTAGGGATCCTAGTGGCTGCCAGCCAGGGCCTTCCTTCGTTCCACACCGCCCCCTGGTGGTCAGCGCATGTCATAGCGAACAATTGAGCTCCCAGTCGGTCAAACTCCTGAGGGGACACTTTGCATATCAGGCTTTTATATATACAGATTACATATATGTGTACATATGCAAAGTTAAAAAGGGCAGGAAATCTGTTTATCTCTGAGTGGTAGAATTAGAGTTGATTTTTGTTTTCTTCTTCAAAATACCTGACCCTATTTCCAAACTGTCTGCAAATGAACATAATTTATTCTAATAAAAAATCTAAAATTAATTTTTAAAGAAAAAGAATAACTAGATGGAAGAGACAATGGATTCAAATTACAACCTCTGAGCCTCTGCAAAATGAGAACCTACTGCTTATCTCTAAAGTTACATGTAATATGTAGGAACACTGTAATATAATAGATGCTCAATAATTGTGCTGGACTCAAGAGCACATACATTACTTCCTTTTAGTGAAAAAAAAAATCGGACATACCCAGCTATTTATAAAATTCAAATCATTACAGACAAAAGCCAATAAGGGGGAGGAAACATATACCCTAAAGTGAAAAATGATGGATCTGACCAGAAGACAACCTGACTTCGCAGAAATAATGAACACCGCGTGTGGGATGTTCCTGTCTCCCACCTGCAAGGGCAGCTTTTCATTTACGCGGCTACTTTCATTTATTCACTCAGCATGACTGAACAATAGCTTTGTGACCTATCGCAGGAATAACAAGGCCCCTTCGTCTTTACCCATCCAAGCTCGACACAGCTTTCCGCCCCAAAGCCAAAAGCTCTCCACTGAAGCTTTCCCCAACTCCCACCGCCCAACGACCTCCTCCTATGCCCCTACCTTTAACCAGCAAGTACCGGGCATCTGCAGACCCCACCGACAGCCCGGTTCACAGCAGGTGGCAACAACATGAGGCAGGAAGGGAAACGCCTTGTGTGCGCCTGGTACCAAGTCACTCATTCCTCCCCGAGTTGGCTTCGGGCTCAAGCCCATCCGACGACCTTACCATCGCTGAGCTGCTCTCAGCATCTCAGCAACCAGACAAGATCCCAAGTTGGAGAGGGCCACACCTCCTCCTCACATCACTTACCTTGTGCCAGCAGGGACCTGAGGGCTCATGAACGACCTGGAAGTCTGCACGGCGGCTGACACTTTCCTGCAAAGAACGGCTAACCTGGCAGCAGCCATTTTTTTTTCTCGCGTCAGCAAACCGCGTTCTCGTCCACAGATGCGTCACTTCCGGTGCGTCACTCCGACCGGAAGCAGAACACAGGAACAGCTTTTGCCCTCACTCAACATGGCCGCCTTCCGCCTTGGCCCCGGGTGGTGAATTGGCTCTCTCGGCTCCCGTTGCCCTCCCCCGCTCGACCTCTTGCCCGGAGTAGCCATGGCGGCCATGAGCTTGCTGCAGCGGGCTTCGGTCACCGCGCTGGCGGCGCTGGCTGGCCGCCGCCTGGGCACGCGGCTCGGACCCGGGGGCTTCCTCACGCGCGGCTTCCCGAAGGCTGTCGGTGGGTGCCGGCTGTGGGGGAGAGCGCTCTCAGGGGGAGCGGGGTGAGAGAGGACGCTGCCGGGGTGACCTTGGTGGGACCGGCAGGAGCCGAGAAATTGCGGGCTGGGCTTGAGGGTTTCTATCCGTTAGCGTTTGTGAAACGCTTGGCCATTCAGCCTTCCCAGGTGGGCTCATTCACGGACGACGCTGATGTCGGAAAGGCCCAGAGCTGAGACCCGGGCCTCTCGGCACCGGGGGAGGTTCGTACTTTCCCCCTGAACTAGGCTCTAGTCCCGCAACACGGACAGTCGCGTTGCGGAGGTGCCCGGTGATGCTAAGTGATGCGTGGACAGGCGCAGGGGCTCCCGACAGGGCATTGTGCATGGGGACTTGCTGGAAAGGATGGGGAGTAGCCAACAAACTACTTGGCTAACAACATTCCTGGACAGCATCCCTCTGTAAGCCGTTTCTGATGGCACATGTCCTCCTCTTTAAAAACTCATCACGCCTAGCTGGAGGTAAACGGGGTGAACCCACTCCTCCCGCTTACACACTGCGCCCCGTTCGCGGAGGTCTGGGGGGATCGCCGCAGGTAATCTGAGCCCTTTGCCCCGGGAGCCGGGGATCGGATGGCAGTGCAGAGGGCACTGTGTTCCAGCCGTGCCTGCTCTCAGGGGCATTTTGCACGTGCAGCCTTACCTGTCCCCGTGCAATGAAAAGTTCTGATCTGTTATATTATTGTGTATGCCTGCCCCCTGGGGAGTGTGAGCTCCAGCGGAGTGGAGAGCCTCGTTTTGTTTCCTCTGGAGCTAGGTTCCCGGGTTCCAGCCCTGGCTCCACGGTTCATTAGCTGTGTGTGTGTGTGTGACCTTGGGCATTCACGTCTTGGAAGCTAACCAGAAGGCGCTGAATCGCTTGAAACTTGTATTTGTTCACCTCTAAAAGAGAGGACGTTTACTACAAGTGTGCTTGTTCTGTTGACTTGACAGGGAAAGGACATGGTTTTCTGGCCACTGTGCTGTACATCTGAAACTCATGCGGAATGGTATTGAATGTAGACAGTCACTGAAAAATAAAAAAATATATAAATGTTTTTAAAAAGGGGGAGTTGGGACCTAATTGGTGAGGGGAGGGGATGACTAAATTGTATTATCTGTTTTGTAGGCAGTAGAGAGTGTAGGGGGTGTTCAATTCCTTAAACCATTGATGTAAAGTGACATTAACTGGGAATAGTCTGAAAATGAGGGGGGAAAAATGACCGATTTTCAATTTCTTGGGAACACACACACACACACATAAAATTATACAGTTATCTTATTTGAGCCACACAAAGACCACAGTTGTTAAAACATAACTTTCCCGAGGTTATGTGCATTTTAAAAAATTGTTATTGAAACCTAGTTGCACATAATTAATGAATACTTGAGGAATTCCAGGCTTTATAAGTGGTGGAAGATGCCTGTTTTCATGGCACCAAAAGGGCTCCAGTTCAATTCCTGGCCGGGGCTTGATCCCTGTAGGTGTGTGTAGGAGACAGACAATTGATGTTGCTCTCTTCCTCTCCCTTTCTCTCTAAAATCAATAAAAACAGATTTTTTTTTTTTTTTTAAAAGAGTGAGTTCTTGGACATGGAAGGAAACTATTGAATTTGATGCATTGGTAAGGTATGCCTTTTTATTCTAAAAGAGGCCATATATTCAGATTCTTTAAGGAAAAAGACCTTAGAAATCCAGACCAACACCCCCCCCCCTTCTCTAGTATACTAATCCCTATTACTGATACTTGAATAACTACTTAGTGGAGAGTTGGGGAGTTGGGCTAAATTTTTAAAAATATGTTTTTGTTGCTTTTAGAGAGAATAAGGAAGAAGGATAGAGAGATAGAAACATTGGTGAGAGAGAAACATGGATCGATTGACTGCCTCCTGCACGCCTGCTACTGGGGATCAAACCTGAAACCCGGGCATGTGCCCTGACTGAGAATCGAACTGGTGACCTCTTGGTTCATGGGTCAATGCTCAACCACTGAGCCACACTGGCTGGGCGGTCCAGTTTTATTTTCAACCACTGAAATTGTTAGAAACTTCTTCCCTGTATTAAGCTCTACATTACTCTTTCACACATTTAAAGTTCTTTGCTCAACTCAACCCAGAATAGTGTATGCCCTTTGTCATGGGATAGCCCTTCAGTTCCTTAAAAGCTCATCTGCTTTCTAACCAGACTTCTTTTTTGTAGACCAGTCAGCTTCAGTTCTTTCAGTTTCAGTGTGTCAGTTTCCAGGTTGTTTTTAATTCTGGTTGCATAAGTGGAGCAGGGTCCAGGTTGTCAGTTCTAAAACTCGGGACACCTGGAGATGAGAGGGCAGGGATTTCTTCCATTTTGACCTTGAACTTTTAATACATATTAAGATAAAATTACCTTGGCTTTTTTTGGTAACCTCATTATACCAATGACTCTTACTGGTATTCTAAGTTTGTGAGCCACTAAACTTTGGAGGTTGGGGTCCAGGCAGGACTTTCCACTTACATTTAATCATTTTAGATTCAGCCTTTTGTCAATGTGTATGAAGACTTTTGGGGGATCCTATTTCATCATCAGTGTAATAACCACTCTTGTGGCAGTAGCTTTGTGTCTTGTCAGGAATACCATCATGCAGGCCATTCAAAGAAATCTTGACCCTCCAGGGCTATGGAGACAACTCTTTGGCAGGTTACTGCATTAACTAATCAGTACCGTTTGGTGTAATCAATCAATCAATTGCCAATTTCAACTTTATTTAACTTGATATTTCTCTCAGTTTATAATGTGCCTTTCCTTGTACCTCCTTGCTCCCCTCAACCCCCTCACTGACACACAGACCATCCTGTCTAAATATGAACTTTACTTCTGGGCCTGTTCTTTTCTGACAATACATCCTGTTTCTTTCCTTTGTTATCCCTATAGATTTGTAATTATGTTAATCTGTTAGTGTTAGTGTCTTGCTTCCAGTAGGGTCTGTCTGTATCCCTCTTAGACAATAGGCCTTCAACGGACCTGTACATAGTAGGCACTTATACTATTATCCAGCCCATTTTTTCCATATAGCTCACAAAAAAAATTCTATAACTTTCAATTGATTTGCTGAAATACATACTTTGTCAAATTCTCTTATCTTGTTATTGTCACAGCCTTAGTAGTATGAATTGTACTTAGTAAATTCATACCAGCATTTAATTCTTTTATGAATTAACCTAAATTCATCTCAAGCTGCTGCAGGTGATACCAAAATTAAGAGAAGAGTTTCTCTTTCACACATTGAAAGTTCTTTGACATTTATGTTTTATTGGGAGAATAAAGGGAATTAGGCGCCTCCTTAGAAGATACAGCAATTCAAAGCTGAGAGTTCTCATCTGGTTGGAAGAATGTTGGTTTCTTGGAGAATAAGATGTCATCTGGGTCCAAAGAACAGATTCCAGTAGAGGGGAGCGCCTTCCAGACACTGAAGCTTGAATAAAGGATACAGAATGTAGTTACACAGCCGAAACAGAGTCTTTCCTGCTTCCAGAAGAAGAGGCTTGGATGCCCATGTGATCTTTCCAGGCTTTCAAGGGAGGAAATGATGTAAAAAAAAAATCCAGGAGTTAAATTTTGCCTTGCTTTATCTCCAGCAAAGTTTGATTAAATACCATCATCTGGGGAGTATTTGAAGAGGAGGATATTGGGAATGAGAAATGAGTTACAAAGGGATTTTATCAAGATATTTACAGTGTTCACTTTCATAACAAGTTCAAATTCCTGCTGGATATATGTTGAATAAATATCTTTCCATCTATTTTGTAGCAAGTGTTTACTGCCTCATATGGAATGGCATAACTTAAATTTATTTTGCAGCATTAGCAAAATTTGTTGCAGAGGGTAAACAAACTAGCCCACCAAGAGTATCTGCCTTCCTTGCCTGCTATTGAAACATTCAAACAATTGTTTAGGTATTTTTTTAACATTGAATAAAAATGAGGAAAGCTATAGTTTAAAACAGAACACCAATCTCTGTTTAAGGAAACCCTACCTGCCCCGCCTTTAATACTTAAAGAACATGCATTTTAAAATGTTAATTAGAAATGTATGGAGGAAACCAAGATGGTGGCATAGGTAAACACCGGAAATTGCTGCTTCGCACAACCACTTCAAAAATACAACTAAAAGACAAAACGGACATCATCCAGAACCACAGGAAGGCTGGCTGAGTGGGAATTCTACAACTAGAAGAAAAGAGAAAAGCACACTGAGACTCAGAGGAGGTGCGGAAGTAAAGTGCAGAGGTACGGAGGCGCACGTGGAAAGGGCTGGAAACTGAGGACATGGTTGTCTTTTTCCATTGGGAGGGAGTCTCAAGCTCCCGACGGCTCTAAACTCAAGTTCTGGGTGAGTCTCTGGGGACCCAGACTCATACGGGGAGAAACTGGACTGTCTGGCATCGATCGGAACTCCAGGGCAGCTTTCTCTCAGAGGTACTTGCAGTGATTACCGGGACACTGAGACCCTGGGGGCCTCTTAGGGTAGGACTGAGGAGCAGCCATAACTGCTTGCTCCGCCCTGTTGATCCCCTG